TTCTCAGAAATGAAATTCCTACATCATATCATAGTTCTATTTTGAATTTTTTTGAAAAACTTTATACTGTTTTCCATGTTAATTGTACCAATTTACAATCCCAACAAAAGAGCAGCAGTGTTCCCATTTGTACACATCTTCGTCAGCATTTCTTATATCTTGTCTTTTTTATGATAACCATTCTAACAGGCATAGAGTGATATCTCATTATGGCTTTGATTTGCATTTCCCTAATGTATAGTGTTGAGAAGTTTTTCATGTATGTATCTGTTGGCTATTCATATATCATCTTTAGAAAAATGTCTATTCAGGTCCTTTCACCATTTTTTATTTGATTTATTTTGATATTGATATGTGTGGGTTCTTCATATATTTTAGATATTAACTCCTTATCAGATATTTGGTTTAAAAATATTTGTTTCCCATTCTGTAGGTTGACTTTTCATTGTGTTGATTGTTCCTTTTATTGTGCAAAACTTTTTTAGTTTAGTGTAGTCTTACTTGTTTATTTTTTATTTTCTTGTTTATGCTTTAGGTGTCATATGCAAAGAATCATTGTGAATAACCATGTGAAACATTTTTTCTTCTAGGAGTTGTATGGTTTCATGTCTTAAATTAAGTCTTTAATACATTTTGACTTAACTTTTGTGAGTGGTGTCGTACAGTGGTCAAGTTTCATTATGTTAATTAGCTTGGTCTTGGTAATTATTTCATCATATACACATATATTAAACTAGTGGCCCAGTACACAAAATTTAAGAAGGGAAGGGGGGTTTCCCTTCAGCTCAGGCTGCACCTTCTCCAATCGGTCCTAAACCAGCAGTTGGGCATCCCTCTCACAATCTGGGACCGCTAGCTTTTAACTATTCACCTGCCTGCCTGCCTGATTGCCCCTAACCCCTCTGCTAGCCTGCCTGATCGCCCCTAACTGCCTATGCCTGCCTGATCGCTGGGGTCTGGGGTGCAGGTGAATGGGATTCCTGTCTGGCAGGCTGCTGACAGCAAGCTATCCAACAGCCAATTCTGCAAGGAATGGGGCTCTCTCCTCCCTCCTGTCAGGGTCTGGTTTGAAGGCCAGCCATGCCTCAAACCACATGAGACCCATAGTTCTACCGTGGCCTAGCTGGATGGGGACCACAGCCCCCTCCTGCAATGGTGCCATGGTGTCCTGGGGCCCACAGCCCCCTTGGCAGTCAGTGCTGGGTAGCTGTGGTGCCCAGG